AGGTTTATCTTCTGCTGTTTTTTCCACATTTTCCATGTGCATGTTCCTTGGTACATTTTACACATTGAAATTTCATATTACAAAATGGAGAAGTGTGTCCATGCTTTTGGCATCTATAACATTGTGGTACATGATGTGGATTGTATATCAGGCGTTCGAATGTTACCTTGTGTTCCATTATATGATTTAGAGAATTAATTTTATTCAATTCTTGGTCGGATTGTAGTATTATTATGTGGACTGGGAGACCATATTTAGTGTTATTAATTGTTTTTGTCATCTGAATTATTTTGGTGACTTTTATTGTTTTGTTTGTCAAATATTCATATATTTCTTGCGTATTAATATATGGTGGAACACCCTTAGCAACTATCTTCTTCTTGGTATTACTGGTTTTTGGATATGTAAAATATTGTAGCTGATCGGCATTTAATTTTTTCAAGACCGTATTGTAATCCTCATCACTAGTTGTTGTAATTTTTTTTTTTTTTTTTTTTTTTTTATATTATAGACAATCAGAAATACAATTTCTATGAGTCTATGTGATCCATTAAGTATGACATTTAGAGGTATCTTCCACTGAAGAGATTCCCCTGTAGATAATCTATGTTAATAAAATAAATCAATGTTAATAAATTATATTTATGTAAATAATTTATCTATGTTAATGAATAATCTATGTTAGTAATATAACAGAGCTAAAATTAAGTTAGTAGATCTTCTGGCCATTTTCTTTTGAGCCTTCTAGTTGGATCATGATTTTTGATCAATTGCATGGCTGGATTTGGATGTTGGTCTAATTTCATGTGGTATGAATTGCTTCTTTGCTGAATTACTTCTTTTACGGTCAGTATGTTCAAATCTGAATGAATAGTATTATTCGACACGTACCATGGTGCATTAACTATTGCTCTTAAAATTTTATTTTGAGTTCGTTGGATAATCTTTATGCTGGACGTGCTTGCACATCCCCATAGTTGAATACCATACGTCCATATCGGTATAATTACTGACTTATATATTAGTAATTTATTGCTGTATGACATTTTAGATTTTCTTCCTATTAGCCAGTAGAGTTGTCTAAATTTATCCATAATTTGCTTCTTTTTTTGTTTTATGTGAATATTCCATGTTAGTTTGCGGTCCAGATGTAAACCTAAGTATTTAACGCTGGTGCAAGTCAATATTTCCACGTTGTTTATAAATACAGTAGGACAGTTTTTCTTTCTTGTAGTGAAAGTGATATGTCGCGTTTTATCCGTGTTTAGCTTTATTTTCCATTTCATTAACCATTTCTCTAACTCAAACAGGTGGTCCTGTAAGTTTAGTGTTGCAATTTCTGGATCTTCGTGGGTAGCCATGATCATGGTGTCATCGGCAAATGTGCCGAGGGTGGTGGCTGGATTCAGTGGTATGTCGTGTGTATATATTGTGAAAAGGGTTGGTCCTAGCACGCTTCCCTGTGGCACTCCTGCTTTTATCTGATGAAATTCGACACCGCATCTCCCACTCTAACCCTAAAACTCCTGTTTGATAGATATGATTTCAATATTATATATATTTTTTCTGGTAAGCATAATCTGATTTTGGCTAATAATCCGTCGTGCCAGACTTTATCAAAAGCCTGTTGTACGTCGAGAAACACTGCTGAGCAATATTGTTTATCTTCTATCGCTTGATGAATGACCGTTGTAACCCTATGGCACTGTTGTATGGTCGAGTGCAGTCGGCGAAATCCAAACTGGTGACAAGGTATGATCTCTAGCACATCACTTATTCGGGCAAGTAATAACTTTTCTAATAATTTAGAAAGTATAGGTAAAAGACTTATAGGTCTATACGATGATACAATATGCCCTGGTTTTCCCATCTTCTGGATCATTATGATTTCAGATGTTTTTAACACCTTGGGCCAATATCCAGAACGTAGCACAGAGTTGAAAACTTGAGTTAGCATAACAATTGCCTTCCGTGAAAGTTCTTTCAGTACTTTAGCTCGTATCTCGTCAATACCTGCACATTTTTTATTGCTTAGATGGAGAATATAACTTTTTACTTCTTTAGGAGTTATTGCTCTTATGTTTTCATTACTGCTTCTTATTTCCTCGAGGGTTTTTGTCACATCAGGATCCGGATCGTTATTATTGGGTGTGAACACTTCTTTGAGGTAATTAGCAAAAACGTCCGCCTTTTCTTGCTCATTTCTAGCCCACGTCACATTTTCATTCACATCTATTCTCAAAGGAGACATATGCATTACAGGACATTTAGTGTTTTTAATAGGCTTCCAAATAGAATTGTCAAATTTGTTTATATTGACAATATAATTTGCAATATTGTTTTCTTTAAGTTCTTTCAACCTATTTTTTAGTGAACTGCATAATTTGTTGTATGATGTTTTGTCGCTTGGTGCACGGCTTCTCTGCCAGATTTTTCTAGCTCTTCTTTTTTCTTTAATTAGTTTTTTAATTTCCAGCGGTAAATTGAATTCGACATCTTGTTTATAAAGTGTGGGTGTTACATTCCTTAGAGCTTCCTTCGTTGCTTGTATAAATAAATTTGTTGCATTGTCTATTTCTTCTTCACTTTTAATTCTTATTTTCAAGTTAATTTTGTTATCCATTTCATTTCTGAATGCGTTCCAGTCTGTTTTATAATTATATAAAGCCCTCGTTTGTTTCCTTTTTATAACATATGTGCTTATTGTCGCAATTATAGGCGTATGATCCGAGGACAGATCCATGCAATCTTCAATATCCATATGCAATGAGGAAATGCCATAGGTTATGAAGAAGTCAAGCAAGTCAGGGACTTTGCGTTCATCTGTGGGCCAGTATGTTGGTCGGCCTGTTGATAAAAAGAAATATTTTTTTTCTTGTATTAATTCAGCTAATTGTTTGCCTTTGGGATTCAGAAGTCTGGATCCCCATAGCGTATTTTTGGAGTTAAAGTCCCCACCAGCTATGAATTTTGATCCCAAAATGTCAAAGAATTCTTTAAATTCTGGTTTTTTAATGTTGTACCTAGGCGGGCAATAAACAGCCGAGATAACAGGCAATTCATAATGTTTTATTGTTGTCTTTATCAAAATTCCTGTTCCAGCATGCGCAGTTTTATCGGGATGATTAGTATAGTAGAAGGTATAGTAAGGTATTTTAAAAGTAGTTGTATCTGTTAAGTGTGTTTCACTTATCAATAAAACATCAATCATGTGTATCTGTAAAAATGCTTCGACTTCATTACGATGGTTGAGAATGCCATTTGCATTCCACTCAGCGATACGTAAAAAGTTCGCCATTATTTTTTTTTTTTGGCTAGTAATGTTAGCATATTTAAAATCATTGTATTTTGTTCAACTAGCTGTTTGAACATGTCTTTAAAGCTGTTGAGTATTTCTTGTAAGGTGTTTGACTGTTGCGTATCGCATCCGTTGTTTTGCTGTGCTCTAAGGGTTTCAGAATAGCTTCGATGCTCCGAAATATTAGCTCGTAGTGAGTGTTGTGCTGCCGAATTAGTCATGCGGCTGGTGTCTGGATTGGTGTTGGAAACATTTCTTCTACTATCTTTGAACATGGACTTATATTTTAAACATCCTCTGTAATTTGCAGGATGGTTGTCACCACAATGCACGCAGATAGCCGGCGTATCTTTAGATTTTTTACACGCAGCAGAATTATGAGGTCCACTGCATTTTACACATGCGTAGGGTCTGTTGCAATAAGATTTTGAATGGCCAAATAATTGAGACCTTGTACACTGTAAAATTTCCTTTCTTTTTCTTAAAGGCTCTACCACTACTATATGATTGAGTAGTTTGGTTAAATTATATATTTTGCTGTTGTTATTAGCAGGCTCAAGGTCAATAAAAAACATATTAAGCGGGCGCTTTGTTTTATATTGCTTGACATTGATAATATTCCTCACCTTATGATTTTGTTTCTCAATTTCCTGTTTGATTTCATTCGTATCGTAAGTGTAATGTATGTTTTTCAGCACAACCCTTAATGCCCTTTCTTCGTTAAGCTGATATGTGTGAAAGTTAGCATTTTTTGATTTGAGTAAAGAAACGAGTTTTCTATACTGTTCCGGTGCTGTTACATTAATCTTAACTATATCATTTGGCAAGGATTTAGTGATGTATTCGTTTCTGTTGAGTATTTCATTAATGTCACTAATCATATCTGCAAATTTATCTACGTTATACACAAACACGGGCGGTGGCCTTTGGACCTTTGTAGTGTTTTCATTCTGTGTATTAGGTGTTGTAGCTAGTAAGCTAAATCTGTTCGATGTTACTAGTTCATTGCTTGAATTACCTTCTGTTGAGTTACGCCTTCTTTTATTTCTTCTGACGTATTGCCACGAAGCCGATGGAGTCTGGCTGTCAAGTTCCATGTCGCTAGCGACAGTATTTATTCTTTGTTCATTAACTATTGGCTTATTAATTTGCTGTTGTTGTTGTTGCATCTGTTGTTGTTGTTCTAGCTGTTGTAACTGTTGTTGTTGTTGCATTTGTTGTTGTTGTTGCAGCTGTTGTTGCTGCTGTAGTTGTTGTATATATGCACTTTGTTCGTGGTTATTTACCATGTTAATTTGCTGTTGTTGTAAATACGTATTTTGATCGTGAGCATTTGGCATAATAATTTGCTGCTGCTGTTGTTGTTGTTGTTGTTGTAAACGATGTTGTATAAACGCACTATCTGTCATTGAAGTGTCGTTCAAGACATTTTGTGTTTCTACTAGCGGGAATATAGACTTTCCATTTTCTTGATGTTGCATTATATTATTTATATTAATAAAACTATTTAATTTAATTAATAATATTCGGCATTTAAATTTGTAAATGCCCCCGCATCGGGGACATTTGTGTGTATGTTAAGAACTGTTTAACTGCGCATGCACTTGTACACAATAACAATTCACAAAACTAACTATCACTTCGATACCGATTGTTTACGTAAGAGGTTAGGTTGTTTATACCATCCGAACTGGTCGACGGCTCACGCTAGACTAGTTGTTGTAATTAAGTAGTTATTGATACCTCGATATTGAGATAGCATTTGAGTCTTACATAACTTTTGTAGTTTCCATATATAGTGACGGTTAGGTGGTGTACTTTTGATTATAATTGGTGGCATTTTAACTTGGTTTTGATGAATATCTGATACATGATTCGTATTATTCGCACCATTATTTCTTGTCTTTCGTTTTTGAATTAGGTTAAAATCTTCTTCTGGTCCTGTAGTATTATGTAATAATTGATTGAATATGTTATGGTCTGCAAAAACCATATTATTGTGATTTACATTGTGTAAATTGCTGTGCATTTGATTATCTGAAGATGTTGATGGTTCACTTATATCCATGTCATGAAATGTTTCTGTAGTTGAATTATTATTATTACTCACATTTTCACTGGTGCTATTTATATTTAAAGAATCATTAGTTATTTCAACAGGTATATCTGTTCCATTTTCCATAATTTCATTCAAGTTTTTACATGTATTATCTGTATTAGTATTATTTATATTATTTGTTATCTTGGTACTTTCTTGATTTATGATAGTATTTATCAGTATTTGTGAATTAACTTTTTTCACACTATCTGACATAGCACTCTTAATAGCTTTGCTTTTACTGACAACACTTTTTTTAACACTAAATGATTTGCTCACTAAATCACTGTTTTTATTGCTAATAATTTTATTAGAAACACTATTAACTGCAACTGTATTTTGTGGAATTAAATTGTACTGATCATTATAAATTGTGTTCATAGCATTTGCAATGCTTGAACCTAAATTGCATAATGTGTTATCACTACAATCCGACAATGAGTCATCATCGTCGCACTCAGACGGACCTTCGTCCATGAATATTAATTGTTTCCAATACCGATGTGAACTCGTCAAGCGATCGAGTAGGAATTACTTTTAATGTACCAGAACTTCAATTACATTCTTTTCCAGCTTCTTTCCTCGTGCCATAGCCTTTGTTTCATCAACTTTACCAGCACCAATAATTTGTTGCACTAGTGACCCATTGTCAGTTTTACAATGAGAAGCTTCATAAAATTTTGAAACCGTTATGCGTCTATACCGAAGTTCATGCCAACCCACTATTCCCAAATATATTTCACCTATCGCCCCCTTTACAGAAAAAATATTACTCAGAGCCCCCCTATTTTTTTTTATTTCACTAGCAATTAATAAGGTATATAAAAATTATTGTATCTATAATAGATAAATTGACGAATAAGAAACCAATTTTGATAGAGCGCGCTATTTTGATAAATCATAAAACATTCAGAAAAAATTGCACCATCAAATTTTTTAGATATATTACGGGTATATTTGTAATAAAATGCAATTGCAATTGGTACATCACTGCTGATGGAAAGGTTTTGTTGATTTATTTATTATAATAATGGACGTTATCAAAATTAATGTTTTACTCTTTCAGAAGAAGATTGTAAAATAACATCAAAGTTATAAATTATAAAACTATATTCAGAATAAAAATACAATCATTACAATTTTAATGTGATGGATGTATCTGGTGTGCTGCTACCAATTTAGGAATTTGCGGTTCTATCTTCGTCAGAAGTAATCTGAAATCACCACGATCTACTGTTTGTAATCGGTTTCTTGTATTTGTTAATAAATTAGTTGCAGCGCTGAATCCACGTTCCACTACGTATGATGATGGAAATGCAATCAGATTTTTTTCAATGACGGACCAAATTTGTGGGTAAGCCGTCGGGATCTCTTTTTGCAGTCAGAATTGTTGGTATCCACTTTTGAATTTAAATTTCAGTTCATCATTTTTCATTATCTCCATCAATTCTTCTTGTAGCTGTGGAGAATCTTCTGTAATTGCACTTGTAAATGAATCGAAAATCCAATCAGGTATGTTCATTTGCATGATATCTTCGAATCGCTTAAAAGAATCAGAATGAAGTGAACTTTTTACATAAATCTGTCAAGTAAGCGATGTCACTTTTGTAGTGTATTAGTTTGGATCGCAAATCCTCATTACCATCCTTCAAAAACTCCAGCACCGAATTAAACTGGAGTAGAGAAATGCTGGGTATTATTTTTAATATATATTTATTGAGATGTTCATGCTTCGAAGGTTGATGAAGAAGAGAGTGAAACATTTCTTATATAATTTGCACATCGGCATATACAGGCTGAAGGTGTCGCATATATGCTACCAACCTATCAGCCATAACGCTCGTTGTTGACAGTTCACAACGAGCGCGCTAAACTTAAATTATAAACTTGAATGACAATTTTGTCCAAAACAGTTTATAAAATTTATTTAAACAGGTACCCTTTGATAGCCATCTTACTTCTGTATGAAGCAGCAAACGATTATATTCTTCGTCGTTATCTATACAAAGCTGTTTAAATAACCTATTATTCTTAGCTCTGCTTTTTATTAGGATGGTAGCTCTAATAACATATTGCAACGAATTATGAAGGTGTTCACTCAAATTTTTGGCAACAAGATGTTGGCGATGAATGACACAGTGTACTGTAAAAGCATTCGGCACCTCCTTTTTTAAAAATGCAAAAAAAAACCCTTGTAGCGCCCTACCATCGCTGGAGCACCATCTGTTGTGACTACTGATAAAATATTTCTTAGAGGTATTCATTTTTCTTTAAAAAACTCCAATTACTTTCTATAATATTTTCCGATGGGAACTTTTTATTAGCGGATATTTTATTATTTATTATTAGATATATGTGGGATATATTCTCAGAAACATCATAGTTTGTTCCATAAAGATAAGCAAATAAATACTAATCCGTCAGGTATAGAAGAACCCGTCTTCCGAATAATAGCGATACATCTAATGCGGTAAATTTGTTTGCGAATTGGAATATGCATATATGTTTATTAGATAATTTGAACTAAAATATCATCTTGGTATAATTAAGTGTTAATGTTAATCATTTATTTATATATAATATTAATATTATAATATTTTTTTCTTTCGAGCTATAAACGCCTCCTACAACTGAGCATCGCCCCCTAAATGCACCAAAGCCTATCACCGCCCCCAAGGGGGCGCTGGCGCCGACTTTGGGAATCACTGGTTTAGCATCTTCGCACACAGCTTCTTTCATTGCAGTCTTCAAATTCAAGAAGCAAATTCTAAAAAAATTGAATTTACGAATCACTTTCGTTAAAATCAAAAATAATTGGATGCTAAACACTTGTATATGTATGTATATGTATGCATATATTGGCTGCTTTAGATGTATATGTCGTATGTATATATATGAGTATGAGTATAGATGAGTACATGAGTATGTATGAGTATGAGTTTATATATATATATATATATATATATATATATATATATATATAGATTTGATGATTTGATGATTGATGAGTAAAAACGAAGTAGAATTCTATATCTCCAAAACCGTCACAATAATTCAATTGAAAATCCAAACCATGAAAACTACGTCGGAACTATAAGTTTACCTTTCATTAAAGAATTACATTACCCGTGGAGAAAACTATTCAGTAAAAATAATATTAGAGTAGTTTGTACTTCCGAGAACACTCTTTCAACTTATTTTACAAAATTAAAATCGAAATTTAACCCAAGAATCCTAAGTAATCTAGTTTATAAGCTTAATTGTCTAGATTGTAATTGCGTTTACATAAGTGAAACCAGTCAAAACTTGCACAAAAGAACATCACAACATAAAAACAACTCTAAAAATAAAAAACAGTATAAAGGTGCGAATTATTCAGCCTGACCACGCTAAGCCAGGAAAATGAAGCTACTGTAAGAAGGGGGTCACCTGACAGAGTTCTGCCCTAGGCGCTTGGCCTGGATAAAAAACGCGATTTCAGATGGAACCGTCAACCCGAAGAAGCCGCGGTTCAAGGATGTTGCTTTAGACCCGTAATTGAAGCACAAGTTCAAGGGGTAATGGGTTACGCACTTGTGGACACTGGCGCGGAAAAAGGCATCGCAGGAGAAACGTTGTACAGACTACTACAGTCAACATGACATCAATTCGAACCATCGATGATGACGATTGCGATGGCTGATGGGGAGTATAGGTAGCCACGCATACGCTGAGCAACGCTAAGAAAGGGTTTACGTCAAAACCCGACGCGACGGACCTTATATTATACTACAGCAGAGAGGCCCAACCAGCCACGAAGTAGGCCGCCCCGATAACACAGATGAAATCAGTATCAGTATAAAAAAACTCTACGGCTCTTACATTTTTCATATCTCAGTTCAAATTACTTTCTAAATCGAATAAAAAATTAACAACAAATACCAACAAACATATCTTTTTATTACGCTGTAGGAAAGAAAGTATCATTCCAAATTTCTATCGCCTTAAATTAGAAAAATTGTTTCATCCTAACAAGAGTCTCAATAATAAATTCAGTTTTTTAAGTTCAGCCATCATTAACCTAGAAATCAAAAATTGTATTTGCAACATACAAAATTTAAAAGTTTCTATTAATAAAATTAGTAGAAGCTGAAATCCTGGAAAGTTTCCTCGAGTTTGAATCGATTAGCTATAAGAGCTTTTGCGTCAGCCAAAAGTTATCTTATAAAGACAAGTTTGAAAGACTATTGCAATCTAAAATAAACTCTTCTAAAATTATCTTAAGGGATTCAATTATTAACAAATAGTTGAAAAATCTCTCTAATGTAACTATCTTAGGCAGGTTTTTATATATCTTTGCCTTGGGACCAAATTTTACTTTTCCCAATACTTGCTACAACATTAACTTCATCAAAATTCTCAGTCGTTTAAAATAAGGCCTTTATAACATTAAAAACGCAGACTCAAAAATGTTCCCCAAGGTGTTCACCATTAATTCGATTTTGTGTAGTACACTTATTACTATTCATAATTGTAAATAATTGCTCGCATCGATATGTACTGCCACACATAGAGCAAATTTCCTAGTATTTTCAAATATGACTGGTAAATATTTATAAAATTCAGGTACCCACTTCAATAAATTTGGCTTTCAAATTTGAGTCACACTGAATTTCGATTACCTCCATTTGCACGTTGCTGGATACTGAAACTATATCTACAGAAAAGATAGAAGAGAACAAAAAAAAATGCCTTTGAATGAACTAAAATCTTGAAACCTCATTTGAAATTCCGTTTTTAAATTAGCAATATTTTCTGCATATTTTTTATATGAAAAAGTAACAACCAAGCTTGATTTATTTACGCTGCACGTCGAAAAGTGTGTCAAATTTTCACTCTTGAACTGTTTTTCCCAAAGGGCAAGTTTCCATTTAAAAGCTTGAATTATTTCGAACATGTTTGTTATAAGATTGTCTTTTCCCTGCAATGATAAATTTAGGTCAGATAGGTGTTTGGTTATATCAACCAAGAAAGATAAATCTCGGATTCATACTGAATCAAAAAACAAACTTGTGTCTTGATTTTTTATTTCTAATAAGTGCATATTTCTCCTTTCAAATCTGAAAAATTTTAGGAATTGATTGTGATTGCTTGCTTTTTGAAGGACCAATTGTAAATACTTTGATTTTGTAACTAGTAATATTTATTTTACTTTAATTACATAAATTACATCGTATTTATAATAATTTTAATATGATTTTATTACGTGTTGATTGATTTGATTGATTTGTATATTTTTCGATAGATGATTTTTTGTTTATATATCAATATAGCCGCATGCTTTGATTGGCGCGAACATTCTCCCGGCCTTGAAATATAGATTTCAAAATAATTGGTATTCTTCCTTAATGTGAATTAAGTAGATGTTTGTGGTTTTGGTAACACACAATCAGTTAAATATTTTCTGCTTCTAAATTGTTTTATTGGAACACTGTAAC